ACCAAACATAAGAGTGGGTCTAGTTCTATTAATAGAACTATATTTACTTTCCAAATCTATTTATATCTGAATACTCCGGTAGCGAGATGGCTCAACCGAATATAGATTTCTAGGGACTATTAACGTTACCTAGTTTATCCTCCGATCAGCCAACCAGATGTGCCAGTCTGGTGAAGGCTAAGTCGGTAATTCTTGATAAGTGGAAAGTTATTGGTTAAGATAATAACAAAAGACATCAAGAGTATTTTCCTTTTCTTTTTACTATTTTTTTTCTAAAGATACGATTTTATGAGTCACTCGGATTCGCCCCAACGAAACATACCATAGTTTTTAATAGAGCGACAACGAAACACTAAATAAAATTCCTTCGGCGAAAACAGTTCTGAGAGAATTATATATAGGCAATGTCTCAGCCTCACAATCCCTCAGAGTATTGCTGTTTTCACGAGGCATACCTAACTTTACCAAAAGACTCGTTTCGTTTATTAGCTTTGAAATTATCACGATACTTAGATTTTACCTACGTGTTTAATTATTCTAAGGCGTTAATATCGCCTTGAGAGACCGAATCTTACACATTTTAAAGCTAGCAAAGGAACTCGTCATCGTGGACATTGCAACTTTTTTCACTATTGCAACTTTAACTTCTGATAAAAAACAAATGTATACCAAGAAATATATATCAAAAACATACCAACTAGTCTAGTTGATAATGCTGTTGAAAAAAATGTGAATGTCATGGGTTCGATCGGTGTAAAAAAAATTGGTCTCTGACCCTGTTGAAAATTTCTTGTCGCGCTACGTTCGAATTTTGGATCAAAATGTGTACAATCAGAAGCCCCCAAAATTGGGAAGAGGTTCAGTCCACTGCATGCAGGCCAGAAAGTCGAACAAAAACAAGATGAGAAAAGATCAACGCAATTGCTCGCAGCTCTAGGACACTAGGTGGTTCTGACCCATGTATTTCTTTTGGTGGACGTCCAGTCTGGTGTCGAAACTCTCCACGTTCGCCCGAACGCGCATATCTCAGGTCAGTGTAGCGGCGACGATTCTCCGAGTACTTAGAGCGCTTTGCGCTGGGCGCTTCGTGCTGGGCGCTTTGCGCCGGACAGTGGGTGTGTGTGTGTGTGTGAATTGCCGTGCATGTCGGCAGTGCGTCGTCCGCAAACATTGTTCCCGACACGTTGTAGAGACTGTCGCACGAGGGCAACGCATCTCCGTGACGACAAATTCGTTGTGGAAAATCACTCTCGGCGTGACCGCTTCAAAATATCACCGCGACATGGCTGCAGACTTTTGTTCCGATGTCAGTGTCGGTAGTAGGACACCCGCAAAGATTGTCCCTGGCACCGTTGTGGAGACTGTCGGTGCAACGCATCTCCGTGACGACAAAGCCGTTGTGGGAAATCACTCTCGGTGTGACCGCTTCAGAATGTCACCGCGACATGGCTACACACTTTTGGTTGCGCTGCAGTTTCCAAATGGCCGCCCGCATTCACAAAATACACTTCGACACCCAAGCCACCCACCGGTTCACGGCAGAGGCCGTTTGGACGCTGCAAACACCTCTGTGGATGTTCGTGTCTTCGGGAAATTTGTGTCCAAAATTTATCACGGGGCTCGCAAACCTCGACGGCAGCGATAACCTCGCATGGCCCTCCGGGAACCGTTCGTTGATCTCGGTGCAACACACACTGTCAGCAATTTTGAGATTGGGTACACTATCGATGGCACCGTTGCGGCGACTATCGGCAGTGCGACGCCGGCAAGCATTGTTGCCGGTACCGTTGTAGAGGCTATCGGCAAGTCGAGACATGTGAACACTGTCGGCATTACGAGGCATGCAACCAGTCGTCGATGTGGCTGTCCGTGTGCACCTTCGTGTTGCACCTAACTGTTCAGCCTCGCATGGCCCTCCAGGTACCGCTCGTTGAGCTCGGTGCAACATTGCGGGTCGCCGGCACCATTGCGGAGAGTGTCGGTAAGTCGGCAATTTTGAGTTTGCGTACACTATCGACGGTACCGTTGCGGCGACTATCGGCAGTGCGACGTCCACAGACATTGTTGCCGGCACCGTTGTGGAGGCTGTCGGCAAGCCGAGGCCTGCAAACACTGTCGGCAATTTTAAGCCTGCGTACACTGTCGGCAATTTTAAGCCTGCGTACACTGTCGACGGCACCGTCGCGGCGAAAGTCGGCAGTGCGACGCCCGCAAACATTGTCGTCGGCACAGCCCGACTGCACCTTCGTGTGTCGCCTAGTTTAGCCGCAGAGCCCTTCGGGCACTGCTTACTAAATTAGGCACCACACTACGGGTGGAGTTAGGGTTCGAACAAATATATCAAGATCTGTGGGTCGGACATGATTGTTCTTACATCTTTCACTGTTTCACTACCCCACAAAAACCAAACTCGTGGAACCGAAACACGCCCCCCAACCATATTTATTTTTCACGACGGACCTTTGATTCAAATTTTCGTCTCCGAAACGTAAATTTCTCCGCCTTTGTGTTCCTAGCGACGCTGTTGCCCAGGTGAAACGACATGCAGCACTTACGTGGAATTAGCAACTTGATGAACACATCGACCCCCGCTCCCAACAACATCCCGACGCTACGAAAGCAGCCTTAATCCACTATCTCCGCACCAAGAGGAAGACCCGCTGCACACATGAACGAGTGCCAAAAATTCTTGCCCGCAGCATGGATGCACTACTGCGCTCCCTAGTCAACTCCACTAACGCAGACATCCTCCGATCTACCGCGGATCGTCTCCAGAAGGCTTAACATGATGCAAACCTCTTCTCACTTAACCCGCAAATCCTGGCAAACGCTAAAGAACCAGCGCGTGCGAAACCCGGACGACTTCATAAACCAACGGTCTTCTCGACACAACCATCCGACACGATGGTTACCAATACACAGCCTCAACCTTCCACGACTGACTCTTCGACGACCGGCAATGATATAGAAATGGCTGACATCGTTAAAGAAGAAAGCCCAGTAGTATTGACCGAGAATGAACAATGTTAGGACTAATGAGGATGATGCTCTTCAACCCACAAGGACTCAACATGGACAACGCAGCACATAAAGATAAGTGTTTGAACGTTATATCGATTTTAAGTCAGGTTGATGTTATGTGTGTGGTCGAAACCTGGCATAACACTACATTTCTTAATCATACACGCTCGAACACACACTACCATATTCTACATCACACTACACAGCATAATATTTTACACCCTTCACACTGTGGTATTGGCATCTTTTCCAGACACCACCCATCGAATTTTCAACTTGTGCTCTCTTCACCGTACGCAGTGTTTTGTGTGTGCTTTGCCGTTCATATGGCCGTGATCTACCTTCCACTCAAATTACTTACTGAAGAAGACGTCAGGCGATACATGAATCCCCCCGAGATTGGCGATTTCCAACCAGATGTCGTGTGGGGAGATTTCAACTTCAAAGCCCGGACTACGTATGGAAACGATTGAGACTACCCTGCGTAATGCGTGGCACTTGGACTACCTCTATGCTGGCGGCTCTATGCGTATCATCGGCCTACCACCCCTGCCTCCCTTCAGAATTATAAGCTGACGGATTACGGTATCTGTGGTGATCACATCTTTGGACTCGATCTCCAGATACTTCCCACGAATCAAATCCATCGGCCCCAACAAATGCCAACAATGACCGCATCTGGCGCTATGCCGCTAACCCACAAATCTTCGGAGGGTTCTACTATGACTTAACAGACCATGAGTTCAGCAGCTGCCAAACCACTCGTTCCGCCCACGTCTAACCACCCAAAGCAATGCTCAAATGTCCAAAGATATTGCGTACCAACGACGGTCCCCGCGCCAACCCTGTATACCGGGTACCGATGACACAGGCGCCACCCTCGCTGGCTACTTTGAGGACCTATTCAACTCTACAAACCCGTACGCGGTTCCACCGGATACCGAACCCTCTCCCGATGCCACTTCCACCCTACGCCCGACGATGTAATGGAGGTTATACTACGCTATCCCAATAAGGGGCCTGGCCCCGACGGGATTCACATGCTCCTCCTGAAGGCCACAGTAGAGCGCTCCACCGAACGCAGAACATTAGGACGCCTCGACGCCAATAGCCCACTGAATATACTCCTTGCCGAAGCATTCACTGAGCTACTGAAGGCGGGTACCTGCCCTGCAGCCCTGAACTGCAGCCTCCTGACAGTGCGCCCAAAGAAAGCCAATGCAGATATCACCTCCCCCGCCGACGCTCGACTCTATTCCATAAAACGAATGGCATCCTACAAGGCTCAATCGTCGGCCCCCAGCTCTTTATTATCTACATGGATTCCTTAGCTGTCACGTTAGCACAATTTCGGCCCAAGCACCTCCGCTCTTATTTATTTGTCGATGACACACGAATCCAATCCCCTCAATCGGTTCCGCTCCAGCCCTTCTTAGATGAGATTGATGCGTGGGGACGCAAATCTGGCCTCGAACAGGGTGTCATTAAACCCCGAGTACGATCTACCGACTTGCGACACGCGGCGTCAACCCTCCGTATAAATGGTGAGCTTATCACGCCGACGCTTGCAGACGCACCTTGGAACACACGTTACCTCCCCCTGAAGATGGCGCACACACACATGCCAAATCGAAACATTCTAAATATCTGGGGTTCCCACTCTCTCACGGAATACCAGGGATCAGCCTCGTCAGACATATGGAATCCCTGGTTGCAGCATTGTCTCTGGGTATCGCCTCTTTCCGCGCTTATGACTTCCATAGCTTCAGCTGGCGACACACCCGCAACCGACTGGTGCTGTTCAAAATATTCATCCTATCCACGGCTACATATGGCCTGAACATTATTGCCTGGGCTCCGCCTATATGGAAGGATGCGTTGGACCCCCTGTTCGAGCGCTTTAACTCAGCACTCATCCAAGCAGCAGCCATCAGCACGGGCACTATATACCATCGGTTTCCCAAACATCAAACAAACTTACTCCACCTTTGTAGCCTGCTCCCCGCGCGACCATTCCCGGACTACCTCGGAGGTTGCCTGGGAATACAACTCGACTCAATGGCCAGCACAAATCCAATCACCCCTCTGACGCAACCCGCCTGGGCCCCCGACAAACCATCGCTGCGCTTCCCGTACAGTATTTATGCTCACCTGAAAATTGTACACAAAACCACGGGCGGGCGTACACCCGACCATGTACCCCTCCGCCAACGCTGTGACGACATCAGGAAGAACTCAACAAAACGCTGGTCCAACAAGGAGATCGCGGCAATGGCCCGGCGCCAATATTACTACCAACTGGTTATGGGTGAACCGCCAACCTCAAACCGAGACAAAGCCAGACACGACAGCTTCAACCGCTGCCTCGAGCCTACACCAATCCGGCTCTGTGCTATAATTGTAACGAATACGTACATGTTCACATTGCTCGACTACCGCACCGACGGCTGTCTCTGCCCTGTCTGCCTGGGTAGCCACAAGTTCACCACCAGCCACTTTACCTGCATCCAACAACTGATTCGACGCACCCTGGTAGGCCCGAAACTGCCGCCCATTGGCCCTGACCTTCTCCAGCAATTACAGGAGTGCCACGACTTCCACGGTATCTGGACCATCCACGAACACATTAGATCTTTTCTCCAGCATGTAGTAGAACCACCGTACCCTCACCCGTTTCTGACACATCAAAAGATGTTCCCCATACCCGGCTAATCACGCTGTTGAAGTACTACTTCCAAATTTTGGTTCAAACCAAATTATCGCGCTTGTTGGTCCCGCCTATAATACTTTCGATTCAGACCAGCCAGCACAGCATATTCCGAATGTATCCGTGGTCTGGTGCGGCATTGGCTCACCCCCATTCTCGCTCCTCGACCGAATTATGACGGATAACCTGGTCCTACTCGGTATTAAGTACTCTGCACTAACCCATTCCACGGCACTACACGGCGCAAAAGTCATAAAAATAAGATTATGACAAAGAAAGACAATACACCTGCAAAGAAACGCAAGCCTGAACGTAAGAAGATGGAGAGAGAAGCCGCTAGCGCTGCCGTAGCTACTGCTACCACAGACGCAACCGCCGCTGCTGCCGATGCACTTAACCACACCGTAGCCGAGGCGCTTGTCTCCGACAAGAATAGTCAGGACAATGCTTCGGATAAGGATGTAGACACTCCCATTAAGAAGACAACTCCTACAGATAGAGCCCGAGTGCCAACTATTGCCTCAACTTCGAAGTTTGCATTTACGAAGCAAAGAAGTGAGACAAGAGACGCGCTGACGCAGCCTTTGCTGCCGCAGAAGCAACCGCCGCTGCTGCCGATGATTTAACCGCACCGTAGCCGAGGCGCTTGTCTTCAACAAGAATAGTCAGGACAATGCTTCGGATTAAGATGTAGCCACTCCGATTAAAGAGACTACTCCTACAGATAGAGCCCGAGTGCCAACTATTGCCTCAACTTCGAAGCTCGCATTTACGATGTTAAGAAGTGAGGCAAGGGACGCGCTGCCGCAGCTACTGCTGCCGCAGAAGCAACCGCCGCTGCTGCCGATGCATTTAACCGCACCGTAGCCGAGGCGCTTGTCTCCGACAAGAATAGTCAGGACAATGCTTCGGATAAGGATGCAGCCACTCCGATTAAGGAGACTACTCCTACAGATAGAGCCCGAGTGCCAACTATTGCCTCAACTTCGAAGCTCGCATTTACGATGTTAAGAAGTGAGGCAAGGGAGGCGCTGCCGCAGCTACTGCTGCCGCAGAAGCAACCGCCGCTGCTGCCGATGCATTTAACCGCACCGTAGCCGAGGCGCTTGTCTCCGACAAGAATAGTCAGGACAATGCTTCGGATAAGGATGCAGCCACTCCGATTAAGAAGACTACTCCTACAGATAGAGCCCGAGGGCCAACTATTGCTTCAACTTCAAAGCTGGCATTTATGAAGCCAAGAAGTGAAACAAGGGACACGTCTCAAGACGCCCCAGCCAATTCTTCTGACGAAACTCAGAAAGAAAAGTCCCCAATTATGGGAGACAAAGTCAAATCTCAGAAGGTCCCTATACCGGAACCAGAAGAGGAGGCAAGCTCAAGTGGCAAACCCGAATCTACGTCCGAGACCACTGAGCCAACGCGCATGACCTTACAGAAGTGGACATAACGTCGGCTGGCAATTATGCCCGAAAAGCGTAAGGACCTGA